GAGAGTGTGTGTGTGAGAGAGAGAGAGAGTGCACGTGTGAGAGTGTGTGTGTGAGAGAGAGAGAGAGTGCACGTGTGAGAGTGTGTGTGTGAGAGAGAGAGAGAGTGCACGTGTGAGAGTGTGTGTGTGAGAGAGAGAGAGAGTGCACGTGTGAGAGTGTGTGTGTGAGAGAGAGAGAGAGTGCACGTGTGTGAGTGTGTGTGTGAGAGAGAGAGAGAGTGCACGTGTGTGAGTGTGTGTGTGAGAGAGAGAGAGAGTGCACGTGTGTGAGTGTGTGTGTGAGAGAGAGAGAGAGTGCACGTGTGAGAGTGTGTGTGTGAGAGAGAGAGAGAGTATGTGTGTGAGTGAGTGTGTGTTTCACCCCGTCCTAGAGAAAAGCACAGTCGTGACACTGAGTGAAGTTCAGTCTCAGGTCTGGTGGATTTAAGAAATTCAAGAGCAGCTCATTTACCGAAGTGACCTGCAGATCTTTCTCGTTCGATTAGAAAACTGAAGCACATGTCAATGCTTTTATCTGTGTTGGGAGTAGCAGTAGTAATCATATTAATTATAATTACATTCACTGTGTGAGAGGGCAGTTGTGAAACATTATTAATGTATTTTCTTCCATATGGTAATTTAGTTAATCACAGCTGGTGAGAAGTGATGCATGGAGAGCCGAGATACTGGGTTACTGTTACTAAAATCCCCAATAAAGAGTACTTGCTTGCACAATCTGAGGAATGAGACACTGTTCTCATTCAACAGTTACAGATGAAATAGAGGAATAGAATTGAGCTGAATAATGACACTACTGTCTTCTGTAGAGCTGAAAGTCACGTTGTAATTAGAGCTGGATTTGTTGTTTCCTCACTGAAGACTTTCACAGCATTGGTGTTGTTTCTCTCCTGTTCATGTAATCTGGAGCAGTCTGTATCTTATAAAGTACTATATGAATAAATGTGACGCGTCATGTAGTGGAGGTGATATAGGGCTGTATGTGAAATACATTTGTATATGGATTCATTCAGTCGCTTGAGTTTTTCTGGTCAGCTGGGTGAAGTAATGGTGGTGAATACAGAAACACAAGTGACAAGAAAATCCATTGATCGTTGGGTTTGATCACAGAAAACACGACACCTTTTTATGTTTTTATATATATATATATATATATACTGTATATTGTGTTCACAATTCATCACACACTGGCAGTAATGCAGTTATTTGTGCATGTGCTTATTGTCACAGGTTTCATAACTCATTTCAGTTGAAGATTTTAATGGTCAAAGAAAATAAAGATATCAATGGGTGAAATCAAATGACAAAAACTAGAAATATCACATCCGTTGGATTGAGTGCAGTACGGTAGAGTGTTAATATATCATTTATTTATCGGTTGATTTCATACCAAATCAGACCTCTTAAATTGTTTTTGATCTTTCACAAGCCAAATGATTTTGAAAAAGGTTGAACATAACCTTGCACAAGCATCAGATTTGCATTTTTACGATTTGCATCAATGACAGAACAGCATGAAAATGATCAAACTGTGCAATTGTTCAAGGAATACTTGGCAAAATAATGTGATCTATGAGAGAAAGTGTTTCACTCCAGAGAACAAGAAACACATGTCAGCCTGCAGCACAAAAGCAGTGTTAAGTCGCTGGGGGATATTTGTAGCAATAGCCAACAATACACTGTATGGGTCACAATTATACATTTCTCTTTTATGCCAAAAATCATTAGGATATTAAGTAAAGATCATGTTCCTTGAAGATATTTAGTACATTTCCTACCATAAATATATCAAAACTTAATGTTTGATTAGTAATATGCATTGCTAAGAACTTCATTTGAACAACTTTAAAGATGATTTTCTCAATATTTAGATTTTTTTGCACCCTCAGATTCATATGATTCTATTATATGAATAGATTAGATAGATTTACATTTACCGTTAACAACACTTAAAAAATCTCCTTAATATAAAGTAATTTTAAAGAAATTGTATTTTAATTTTTGTATTTTTTCTTTCTGTATTCTCTTCTTGGAGTTCTCTGGAATGCTGTATTTTTGTTTTAGTGGAATAAACCTCTTCCTCCAGTCCATTAGGGGGCGGTAATGCCGATCTATAGGCGGCTTGTCAACCGCAAAAAGGCAGAAGAAGACATCTGAAGCACCGACTGGAAACAAACCGAGATTAGTAAAGGTTTATGGAGCATTAATTCAATCTGCGGAATTTTGCATTGTAAAAATGGAGATCATGGATATGAATGAGGCAGAACCATGTAAAGTGAAAGATGAAGATGCTGAGGAACAAAGAGGTTGGTGTCCATTCATGATGCTAATGTTTACTTATGATGAATATTAAACTAATAAATGCCCAGAATTGATCCTTGGATAACAGAGAACCCTGTCAGTCGGTACAAGTTTAATATTAAAATTAAAAAGCAGAGCCCAAACCATTACATTCAACTGCTGTACCTCAGATATAATAACCAATACTCAAAACATTTAAATTTCCCATAATGTACTTTTCATCAAAATGACAGATTTATTCAAACATATGTAATGAACAGGTTGAGTAAATAAGGTATAACCAATTAACACTGGATAACTTTCAAATGTAACGTTACGTGACGTTTTTCCGTGGTTGAAACACAGTAACAATCTGATGTTCAGTTACATGAGAGCGGATACATTTGACTGTTACACTGTAACAAACGCGCGGTCTGATGTTCGGTTACATGAGAGCGGATACATTTGACGGTTACACTGTAACGGGCGTTCTGATGTCCGGTTACATGAGAGCGGATACATTTGACGGTTACACTGTAACGGGCGTTCTGATGTCCGGTTACATGAGAGCGGATACATTTGACGGTTACACTGTAACGGGCGTTCTGATGTCCGGTTACATGAGAGCGGATACATTTGACGGTTACACTGTAACGGGCGTTCTGATGTCCGGTTACATGAGAGCGGATACATTTGACGGTTACACTGTAACGGGCGTTCTGATGTCCGGTTACATGAGAGCGGATACATTTGACGGTTACACTGTAACGGGCGTTCTGATGTCCGGTTACATGAGAGCGGATACATTTGACGGTTACACTGTAACGGGCGTTCTGATGTCCGGTTACATGAGAGCGGATACATTTGACGGTTACACTGTAACGGGCGTTCTGATGTCCGGTTACATGAGAGCGGATACATTTGACGGTTACACTGTAACGGGCGTTCTGATGTCCGGTTACATGAGAGCGGATACATTTGACGGTTACACTGTAACGGGCGTTCTGATGTCCGGTTACATGAGAGCGGATACATTTGACGGTTACACTGTAACGGGCGTTCTGATGTCCGGTTACATGAGAGCGGATACATTTGACGGTTACACTGTAACGGGCGTTCTGATGTCCGGTTACATGAGAGCGGATACATTTGACGGTTACACTGTAACGGGCGTTCTGATGTCCGGTTACATGAGAGCGGATACATTTGACGGTTACACTGTAACGGGCGTTCTGATGTCCGGTTACATGAGAGCGGATACATTTGACGGTTACACTGTAACGGGCGTTCTGATGTCCGGTTACATGAGAGCGGATACATTTGACGGTTACACTGTAACGGGCGTTCTGATGTCCGGTTACATGAGAGCGGATACATTTGACGGTTACACTGTAACGGGCGTTCTGATGTCCGGTTACATGAGAGCGGATACATTTGACGGTTACACTGTAACGGGCGTTCTGATGTCCGGTTACATGAGAGCGGATACATTTGACGGTTACACTGTAACGGGCGTTCTGATGTCCGGTTACATGAGAGCGGATACATTTGACGGTTACACTGTAACGGGCGTTCTGATGTCCGGTTACATGAGAGCGGATACATTTGACGGTTACACTGTAACGGGCGTTCTGATGTCCGGTTACATGAGAGCGGATACATTTGACGGTTACACTGTAACGGGCGTTCTGATGTCCGGTTACATGAGAGCGGATACATTTGACGGTTACACTGTAACGGGCGTTCTGATGTCCGGTTACATGAGAGCGGATACATTTGACGGTTACACTGTAACGGGCGTTCTGATGTCCGGTTACATGAGAGCGGATACATTTGACGGTTACACTGTAACGGGCGTTCTGATGTCCGGTTACATGAGAGCGGATACATTTGACGGTTACACTGTAACGGGCGTTCTGATGTCCGGTTACATGAGAGCGGATACATTTGACGGTTACACTGTAACGGGCGTTCTGATGTCCGGTTACATGAGAGCGGATACATTTGACGGTTACACTGTAACGGGCGTTCTGATGTCCGGTTACATGAGAGCGGATACATTTGACGGTTACACTGTAACGGGCGTTCTGATGTCCGGTTACATGAGAGCGGATACATTTGACGGTTACACTGTAACGGGCGTTCTGATGTCCGGTTACATGAGAGCGGATACATTTGACGGTTACACTGTAACGGGCGTTCTGATGTCCGGTTACATGAGAGCGGATACATTTGACGGTTACACTGTAACGGGCGTTCTGATGTCCGGTTACATGAGAGCGGATACATTTGACGGTTACACTGTAACGGGCGTTCTGATGTCCGGTTACATGAGAGCGGATACATTTGACGGTTACACTGTAACGGGCGTTCTGATGTCCGGTTACATGAGAGCGGATACATTTGACGGTTACACTGTAACGGGCGTTCTGATGTCCGGTTACATGAGAGCGGATACATTTGACGGTTACACTGTAACGGGCGTTCTGATGTCCGGTTACATGAGAGCGGATACATTTGACGGTTACACTGTAACGGGCGTTCTGATGTCCGGTTACATGAGAGCGGATACATTTGACGGTTACACTGTAACGGGCGTTCTGATGTCCGGTTACATGAGAGCGGATACATTTGACGGTTACACTGTAACGGGCGTTCTGATGTCCGGTTACATGAGAGCGGATACATTTGACGGTTACACTGTAACGGGCGTTCTGATGTCCGGTTACATGAGAGCGGATACATTTGACGGTTACACTGTAACGGGCGTTCTGATGTCCGGTTACATGAGAGCGGATACATTTGACGGTTACACTGTAACGGGCGTTCTGATGTCCGGTTACATGAGAGCGGATACATTTGACGGTTACACTGTAACGGGCGTTCTGATGTCCGGTTACATGAGAGCGGATACATTTGACGGTTACACTGTAACGGGCGTTCTGATGTCCGGTTACATGAGAGCGGATACATTTGACGGTTACACTGTAACGGGCGTTCTGATGTCCGGTTACATGAGAGCGGATACATTTGACGGTTACACTGTAACGGGCGTTCTGATGTCCGGTTACATGAGAGCGGATACATTTGACGGTTACACTGTAACGGGCGTTCTGATGTCCGGTTACATGAGAGCGGATACATTTGACGGTTACACTGTAACGGGCGTTCTGATGTCCGGTTACATGAGAGCGGATACATTTGACGGTTACACTGTAACGGGCGTTCTGATGTCCGGTTACATGAGAGCGGATACATTTGACGGTTACACTGTAACGGGCGTTCTGATGTCCGGTTACATGAGAGCGGATACATTTGACGGTTACACTGTAACGGGCGTTCTGATGTCCGGTTACATGAGAGCGGATACATTTGACGGTTACACTGTAACGGGCGTTCTGATGTCCGGTTACATGAGAGCGGATACATTTGACGGTTACACTGTAACGGGCGTTCTGATGTCCGGTTACATGAGAGCGGATACATTTGACGGTTACACTGTAACGGGCGTTCTGATGTCCGGTTACATGAGAGCGGATACATTTGACGGTTACACTGTAACGGGCGTTCTGATGTCCGGTTACATGAGAGCGGATACATTTGACGGTTACACTGTAACGGGCGTTCTGATGTCCGGTTACATGAGAGCGGATACATTTGACGGTTACACTGTAACGGGCGTTCTGATGTCCGGTTACATGAGAGCGGATACATTTGACGGTTACACTGTAACGGGCGTTCTGATGTCCGGTTACATGAGAGCGGATACATTTGACGGTTACACTGTAACGGGCGTTCTGATGTCCGGTTACATGAGAGCGGATACATTTGACGGTTACACTGTAACGGGCGTTCTGATGTCCGGTTACATGAGAGCGGATACATTTGACGGTTACACTGTAACGGGCGTTCTGATGTCCGGTTACATGAGAGCGGATACATTTGACGGTTACACTGTAACGGGCGTTCTGATGTCCGGTTACATGAGAGCGGATACATTTGACGGTTACACTGTAACGGGCGTTCTGATGTCCGGTTACATGAGAGCGGATACATTTGACGGTTACACTGTAACGGGCGTTCTGATGTCCGGTTACATGAGAGCGGATACATTTGACGGTTACACTGTAACGGGCGTTCTGATGTCCGGTTACATGAGAGCGGATACATTTGACGGTTACACTGTAACGGGCGTTCTGATGTCCGGTTACATGAGAGCGGATACATTTGACGGTTACACTGTAACGGGCGTTCTGATGTCCGGTTACATGAGAGCGGATACATTTGACGGTTACACTGTAACGGGCGTTCTGATGTCCGGTTACATGAGAGCGGATACATTTGACGGTTACACTGTAACGGGCGTTCTGATGTCCGGTTACATGAGAGCGGATACATTTGACGGTTACACTGTAACGGGCGTTCTGATGTCCGGTTACATGAGAGCGGATACATTTGACGGTTACACTGTAACGGGCGTTCTGATGTCCGGTTACATGAGAGCGGATACATTTGACGGTTACACTGTAACGGGCGTTCTGATGTCCGGTTACATGAGAGCGGATACATTTGACTGTTACACTGTAACAAACGCGCGTTCTGATGTTCGGTTATATGAGAGCGGATACATTTGACTGTTACAATGTAACAAACGCGCGTTCTGAGGTTTGTTCATGTTTATCGGTGCAGTGAACATCACCAGAGTTATTTCTTTCTTGTCTTGCATTCTCATATTTTAAACAAGTCTTTGAATATCTAAAAAACTTGTAATACTACAAACATCGCAAACATCGTTACAAGTTGCTGAAGTGTACAGTGTAGGCTTAATTAGAAATGCATGTATATCCGTCCATCTATTGGTCATATTCACTGTGTACTGTATGTAAAATTAGCTTTACCTGATCTTTGTTTGAGAAAGTATAATATGAAGTATGGTTGGGGTTACAGTGTTTACTTTTTATTCGTGTCTATTGTTCTTTATTTGTGAAAAATAAAATAGAAATTTGATATTGAATTTTACATTTTTAATTTTATTCCAAATAGACAGTAAAATAATTTACATTGTCTTGAAGTTGTATAGCAATTGTCCTTCAGATTTTTCTTTTCATTCTGTTTGACATTTGTCTCTTGAAATGAATTTCACTATTTAATGTGTTCACTTTAGGCCTGATGGAGGTGAAAGAGGAACGTCAAGAACTAAATGATATAGAGGAAAACCATCAAGAACCTCACAATTTCATAAATGGAGAAAAATCTGTGGCTTCCTCACACACTGACAAGAATTTCTCACAAAAAAGAACTTTAGTAAAAACTTCATTCACATGTGATCAGTGTGGAAAGAGTTTTATGCGTAAAGGAGTCCTGAACGATCACATGAGGATTCACACCAGAGAGAAGCCTTTCACGTGCCTTCAGTGTGGAAAGAGTTTCACTAATAAAGGAAACCTGAAGCTTCACATGGGAACTCATATGAGAGAGAAGCCTTACAGGTGTGATCAATGCGGAAAGAGTTTCATACGTCAAGGGTTTCTCAGTTATCACATGCGAATTCACACGGGAGAAAAACCTTATTTATGTGATCAGTGTGGAAGGAGATTCACGCGCAGACGACTCCTGAACGAACACATGCGAAGTCACACCGGAGAGAAGCCTTACATGTGCTCTCAGTGTGGAAAGGGTTTCTCACGTAGTGAAAACCTCAAGATTCACCTGAGAATCCACACCGGAGAGAAGCCGTTCAGATGTGATCAGTGCGGAAAGAACTTCATTCGTAAGCGACTCCTGAGCGATCACATGCGCAGTCACACCGGAGAGAAACCTCACGTGTGTGTGGAGTGTGGAAAGGGTTTCTCACTTAAAGAAAACCTTAAGTGCCACATGAGAATCCACACCGGAGAGAAACCTTACAGATGCGATGAGTGCGGAAAGAGCTTTCAATTTAAAGGAAAACTTAACCATCACTTACGAATTCACACCGGAGCGAAACCTTTCACGTGCAATCAGTGTGGGAAGAGTTACACGCAACCGGACAGCCTGACATATCATCTGCGCTCTCACGCTGGAATAAAGCCTTTTAAATGCAATCAGTGCGGTAAAGCGTTTATTCTGGCCTCACATCTGAAAAAACACATGAAGGCTCATGCGAATGAGAGGCCTTACTTCTGTTCTGTTTGTGGAAAGACGTTTTCACGGCTGGACTGTTTTAAAATGCACCATAAAGTTCACACCGGCGTGAAAGCTCACTAGTGCTCTGAGTGCGGGAAGAGTTTCAGAAGAGCCGGAGACTTGAAGATTCACCACAGAATCCACACTGGAGAAAAACCCTACAAGTGCTCGCACTGCGACAAGAATTTCAGTCAGTTAGGACAGCTGAACATACACGAGCGAGTTCACAGCGGAGAGAAACCGTACCAGTGCCCTTCATGTGAGAAGGGTTTCAGCTCATCACGCACTCGACTGGTTCATGTGAGAAAGCACTGTACAAAGTTGGCAAAGTGAGCAATTTGCTGTAACCAAAAGATGAAATTTTCACCTAATGCAGAAAAAGATGCAGTTTCATCTACGACGCATGCAGGGATTACGGTTCCGTCGTCAGTTCATAAAGACAGTCACTTGCTGCATTCCTGAATGAATCAGCCGTTTGAACGAATCAATTGAATGAATGATTCAGTGATCAAATCTGTGACTTGCTGCCACCTGCTGGCGGATTTTGTAAAAAATTGTGTATAATTTCATTTATTTAAATCATTTAATCTCCACATGAATTTATGAATTTAATTGCACTCATGCTACCTCTGAGCCACATTAAACGTCTGAAAATGTACCTACTAACCACTTTTGTGTTCTTCTGTGCCACCTCTGTAGTACAAATTAATTTATTAATACTAACGTCATATGATTGGGAACTTATTTGTCTTATTAAAGAAATATTAAATGATTTAAATTACTGAAATTATACTAATATTATTATAGTATTACTTCTATTTTCTTCCAACCCTAGCAAGGGTCCTGATTTGTAATAATCAAAGTCAAAAAATTAAATGCTGTAAATTTGTCATCAGCAATGATTAGATGCACTGAAAAATATAAAATTTTAAATAATTTAACACATGCTCTTTGATAGTAAGACTTAAAATACCTTTAACAAGTAAGAATTTGAGTCTCTTCAATAATTACTCAATAAAGACATTGATGAATGAATGTGAATCAGTGAGTCGGTTGAGAAATGACTTGTTTTTTTATTAATTATGCAGGTGTGCAGCTTTCAATGTAGGTTAGGAGAAATCTTCTGGAACACTTTATATTTTTAGTCCTAAACACCAAAAAAAAAAGCTGAAAATCTTTCATGAATCAACGAATCAACTCCAAACCAAGTTTTGGTTTGCAACAGATCAGGCTTACAGAACGTTTGGAATTCATATTCTTCATTTTAATAAAGTGACGGTCAGATACTTTAACACAAACAATTAAGAGCAAAGGTTGGACGGCAGGCGACATTCATAAACACAAGCCACTGACAGCAGACAAGAAAGACAAATGAATGCAAGAGAATTTAAGGACGTGACCGAACCAGGACTGCAACAGTGAGAATGATCAGGCTCTGCAAACACATGACCATACAAATGATGCATCTGTGTCCGAGATCCGGTTCAGTTTCAGGCTTGAATCTCCGTCTGGTGGAGTGAAGGGGAATTTAAAGGCACATTTTAAAACAGTTCCAGTTTGTAGTGTTGCTATAAACCAGATTCAGTATACACAAACGACAACATATAATGCTTTCATTAAAACAGCAATCAACAGTTTTACAATAAAACTGCAAGATAAAATGTTACAAAAACGTATCTAGAAGTAGATTTGTTCTCTGCTCACTGAAGAAGTCACTGCATGCTACTTTACTTTGCTGATGATACTTTTACTTACAGTCAGAAGCACTAAAACTACACAGCTGACGTGTTTATTAAGTGATTTATTTACATGATTAATGTAACCTACTCGAGCATAAACTAGCACACATTCAAGCTTGATTGATTTTATAGTGTACTGAAATCACTTCAGTACTGAAGAGCTATGATTAACAAAATTACACTTCAAAGATGTTAGAAAGGTAAATACACTGATGTCTTTATAGTTTAAAGGTGACATATCATGAAAATCTGACTTCTCCAGGTTGTAAGTGCTATAATCAGGTCTCCGGTGCATCTGCCAACCAAGGAAACGTGAAAAAGATGAACCCAGTAACTTTGTTTTAGTAAACCTTTTTCTGCAAGCGTCTGAGAAAACGAGCGCGTCTGATTTCGCTCACTTGGTGACGTGGCAAAGGGATCTCATTATAATATCACCTATCAGAAGTTTAAACTCATAAGGTTCAAAACGCATGATTTCAGCACGATACACATGATAATTAGATCCAAAACAGATGTTTTTAGCAGGTCCGAGCTGCAGCTCTATTCTGGAAAAGGGGGCGGGGAGCAGCAGCTCATTTGCATTTAAAGAGACAGGCACGAAAAACAGCCTGTTTCTGCTTCCACTCAAAATAGGCATTTTCAAGCTGATATAATAAATGATATGTGGAGTATTTTGAGCTGACACTTCACAGACACATTCTGGGGACACCAGAGACTTATATTACATATTGTAAAAAGGGACATAATATGTCTCCTTTAATGCAACCACATGCAAAAAAACTGCTATTCACTAATATGAAATGTGGCAGTTTTTTCTAAACTAATTCTTTGACCTCCCTTAAATATCCTAAATGGTATTTTGTTGGGGTACAACTCCATCCAAGTTTTAAACTTGAATGTGAACCTTGCTCACTTTTTCAGCTTTGGACAAGCCTTTTTTAAATGTTTTCCTAAACTCCCGTATCGGCTGAAAGTCTTCCCGCAGGAGGGACAGAGGTATGGTTTCTCTCCGGTGTGAACTCTCTCGTGCACTTTCAGTCCTGATGACTGAGTGAAGCTCTTCTCACAGTGTGAGCACTTGTAGGGTTTTTCTCCGGTGTGGATCCGTTCATGCACTTTCAGTTCACCGGCTCTAGTGAAAGTGCTTCCACAGTCCAAACACACGAAGGGTTTCTCGCCAGTATGTGTTTTCTGGTGGTCTTTAAACCCATTAAGCCACAGAAAGCTCTTCCCGCAGAACGAACACACGTACCGCCGCTCGTCTTCGTGAATCCTCATGTGCGTCTTCAAGTGCACGGCCAGGAAAAACTTCTTATCGCAGCGCTGACAGTGAAAGGGTCTTTCTCCGGTGTGAGAGAGCAGGTGAGTTTTGAGATTGCAGGCCTCTGAAAACCTCCTGCCGCATTCAGGACACTGGTGTAACTTCTCTCCTGAGTGGACCTTCATGTGAACTTTGAGTGTGCTCTGCTGTGTGAAGCTCTTCCCGCACAGCATGCACGTGAAAGGCTTCTCTCCGGAGTGGATTTTGGCGTGTTCCCTCAGAACCTCCTTCTGTTTGTAGCTCTTTCCGCACTGAGGGCAGGTGTAAGGTCTCTCTCGCGAGTGAATACGTATGTGTCTCTTCAGCTCTCCAGAGCTCGGGAAGCTCTTTGCACATTGACGGCAGGTGAAAGGCCTCTCTCCGGTGTGAATCCGAACATGCCTCTTCAATCCTCCTGAGTTTGTGAAGCTCTTTTCGCACTGAGGACAGGTGAAAGGTCTCTCTCCGGTGTGGATCCTGAAGTGATCCTTAAGGCTTCCTTTGCAGGTGAAGCTCTTGGCGCACTGAGGACAGGTGTATGGTCTCTCACCTGTGTGGATCACCATGTGAACCTCCAGGTGTCCTTTACGAGTGAACCTCTTTCCGCACTGAGAGCAGGAGAACGAGCCTTTAGCGTCCGCTCTTTTTTGTGAAACGTTCTTTTCAGTGTCTGAGGAACTAGAAGACTTTTCCTGGTGCTTCTCCTTCACCTCATTCAGTTCTTGACTTTCACCTTTCACTTCCGTCACGTCTAAAATTAACATAGTGAACAACAAAACCAATGAGTACAACAAATATGACAGGCCAAAAAAAATCTCAAATAGAGGGATATTTAATGTGCCGATGTAACTAGTCAGTGATGCTTCTTAATTCTGCTTTACTGATTATTATCTGCTTTTCAGTTTCATTCAGAGTTGGTTTAGGAACTAATGCTAGTAGAGAAGACTGTGTAACGCGTCTGTCGCAGATCAGAGAATAAAAAGAGCATTTATGGCCAGGTCATTTATCATAGAAATATGTTTATTAACTGTTAGGGCCGTTATAGCGCCACCTATAGGCCAACCTCTTTAAATCTTTGCATGCTTGTTAAGAATCATCTGACACATGTGCTCACCTAGTTTCGTAAAGTTTTGAGTTTTCGTTTAGAAGTTATGGGCTGTTTTGTGCATATTTGGCCACGCCCCTTTTCTAAATGACCCCGTTATAACTCCCAAAAACAGGTCAAATTCAACTTTTTTTTTTTTTGCTAATTGTTGATCTAGAGAGGCCGGAGAATTGTGCTGCAGTGGTTTTATTGAGGTTGAGTAAAAAAACCTAGGACTTGTTCGCAAAAGTCGGATTTTAATATAATTGAGAGTATTTAATGAACGATTTGATTGACACCGTTGGTTCTTGAGGCAAAGTTGCTCAGTATGAGGAGCTCTATCAAGTGATATGAATATTGTGTGGATGTGTGAAACAAGGCATAAATCTCATTAGCGCCACCTTGTGGCCGATTTCCTTCAAAATTGTTACAGACCTCTAGGGCCTCGAGTCGAACGTGCCCACCAAGTTTCGTTTCGATCAGCCTCCTTTAACCTTGTCTAATGGTGCGTTCAATCATGTCGGATAGATCGTATTTACGAGTTGAGCGCACATGAGCGCCATCACAAAGTCGTTATTACGAGTGAGAAACTCTACATTTTCTTTAAGCCCCAAGTTTACGAGTTGGGGGCGTGTCAGTGAGAAACACGGCGGAATCGATGGATGCAACGTCTGTAGTTGACGGTAAATTTTTGTTTAAATTGATAGTTTAGTTGTCCTACAAACTTAAATTGGTCATGTTCTTGTTACGCAGCTGAAATCCAAGTAAAAAAGTGCAGACCCTGTTGTATTTTCTTGTAATTTATTAAAAGAAGGTACACCGCCATCTTGTGCCGACTAAACTGATTTGAACGCACCTGATGTCGTAATTACGACTTGTCAACTCGTAAGTACGAACGTCCCAGGAGGACTTGAACGCAGCATAATGGGTGCTCAAACTTCATTGGCCGATGGCGGACATGTTTTTTGACATATGCAAATGTCCTCATAGACTCTTGTGGCTCATTGGACAAAGACGCAGCATACCAAGTCGATCGGACTAAATATTTTTTCCCTCTTATAGCACCACCAAGTGGTCAAGCGCCGCATTTAAAAAAAATTTGACCAAAGATTGAGCTCTTACACATGTGTACCAAATTTGATGTCGATATCTCATTCTGTTCAAGAGTTATAGGCGTTTTAGTAAAAGTGGCTCCGCCTCTTTCGAACGTTTTGGTGCCACTTTGTGACGGTGAGACGAAAATTCAACTTTTTTTTTGATAATTATAATTATTAATATTCACTGTCCAGAGAATATTTCTGCACTGGCTTGGTTTTGATCGGGCGAAAAACCTAGGACTAGTTCGCTAAATTAAAATTGGCGGGAAAATTTGCATACCGGAAGTTAAATCAGTTTTTTTTTTTTAATTAATAAAAAAAATTTGAGCCAAGGATTCCAATGATATAAGACACTTGGGTCTACGACAAATTGCTGCGGCGTCTCTTAAGGCCTTACAGTATGGTCTGCACGGCGGAAAAATAACAAATAAATCCTGACAAATACAATAGCGTTTCAGCGCTACGCTCTTTTAGTTTTTAGAATAATATTAATGTTGTTTTGATAGAAATAAATATGTAGGTTTCATAAATTTGGATTTCATTCCAATCGGGGTAATTCTCAGAGTAAATCTTCTTATTTTCTGACATATTCTTATTTGTTTAGAATATAAGATCAGAACTTAAATGTTCTAATATGTCATCAATGTTGAAATGATGAGTTATAAATAAATAATAAAAATAATCTTAAATAACGAGAAGTTGCTGATCAGATATTATATGGTTTTAGTAGGAAAATATGAAGTTACGTTTTATAAAATAATGATTCTTCGGCTCCAAATGAACCCAGAATGTGAAAAAACAGTCTACAGTTTTTGAAAGTACTTCACAGTGAGTTTTTGTTTTGTAAATCCTTTATATTTATAATATAAGATACTTATAACTTCTATTAGATGTCATGTACGGTAGTGGTTTATAATTGCTGTTTCACCTAAAATAACATTGTTAAATAATATGAGGAAAGATACAGCACTGATCAACATTTTGTATAACAGCTGTTGCACTTTTGTGAACTGATTTTTGGCCGTTTACTGTGTTTGTGTCAGAGCTGATGCAAGAGAAAGAAGAGAGCAGAGGGAAACCTCCGTATCAGGACGCTGACGGGTTCAAAAGTGGAGGAAAAGCGTTCGGTCGCTCAGACATGAAAAAGAAAGTCTCGCAAGAAGCCAGTAATGCGTTCGTCTGCCCCGAGTGCGGGAAGAGTTTCACACATAAAGGACACTTCAATGAACACGTGAAGATCCACTCCGGAGTCAAGCCCTTCAGCTGCCCTCACTGTCAGAAGAGCTTCACCTGTAGAGGACACCTGAAACGCCACATTCGCATCCACACCGGCGAGCGTCCGTACGCTTGCGATCAGTGCGGGAAGAGCTTCAAGTGTGCCACCAACCTCAAAGACCACCAGCGCTCGCACTCAGGAGAACGGGCTTTCAGATGTGAGCAGTGCGGGAAAAACTTCATTTTGGCGTCAAACCTGAAGGCGCACCTGAAAATCCACACGAACGAGAAGCCGTATGTGTGCGGCGTGTGCGGGAAGGGCTTTCTGCGCCTGGGCTGTCTTAACGATCACCAGAAGATCCACACGGGTGAGAGAGCTCACATATGCTTCGAGTGCGGAGACACGTTCACCAGATCCAGCGCTCTGAAGCAGCACCAGAAGATCCACAGCGGAGAGAAACCCTACAGCTGCTCGCACTGCGGGAAGGGCTTCACTCATTCTGGAGCGCTGAAGAGACACGAGCGCGTGCACACCGGAGAGAGACCCTACCTCTGCACCGCCTGCGGGAGGAGATTCACTCAGTCCAGCGATCTGCAGAATCACATAAAAAAGCCCTGTCCCATGCTGCCACACACCGAGCACAGTTCAGCAGTAAACACGGAGAAGCTGTGCTGAACGAGCTGTTCAGTTTGTGCTTGCTTGACGACGCAAACTGAAGGGGAATCTGAGTAGCTACACAACCGAACAGTGTCATTATTTCTGTTACTAACATTTAAATCGTCACAGAAGTACTGGGATGAGAGGTTATAGTTTGGATATAAATACTGATATCTACAGTAGCAATCAAAATACTGTACATCATCTTTTGAAAGTAAAGTGATGCTTCAAAGAAAGATTGTGTGGATTACATTGTTTCTCCAGTAGGTGGCGACAAGTGACTGTTCAAAAATGTGTTTGTCATTGAATCATTCTGTATAGAGATTCGTTCTTAAAACTGATTTCTTCCAGTAATGAAACAAGTGAAGTCTTTATGAGTGAGTCATTGAATCATTCATTCAAAAGATTTGTTCAAAAATACTTGATTCATCAAGTGTCAAAGCACATCATTAAATCATTCACTCAGGAGATTCATTCAAAAACACTGATTCATCTGGTAATGAAACAAGTGAAATCTTTAAGTGAGTCATTGAATCATTCATTCAAGAGATTTGTTCAAAAACACATTCATCTGGTAATGAAACGAGAAGTTTTTAAGTGAGTCGTTGAATCATTCATTCAAGAGATTTGTTCAAAACACAGATTCATCAAGTGTCAAAGCACATCAAATCATTCATTCAGGAGATTCATTCAAAAAAGTTAATTCATCTAGTGTCATTTTATGAGTGAGTCATTGAATCATAAATTGAAACCCTTTTTTTTTCAGAACCTTTAGTAAATGTCAGTTTATTTGTCTGTTCAGAATCGTGATCTCTGTTTCAATCAAAAGCATTGTGATTCTCCGTTTTAACTCCTGCCGTCTGTTATTTCTCGGATTCAGTTTGCTCTGTTAGTCTCAGCTGTTGTCTGCTGGTGTGAGGAGAACGACCATCTGTGTTGGTCACGGGTCTGTTCTCATGCTGTATCTGATCATCACACACACTAACATGTAGCGTACAGTGTACAGTTATGCTGTTTCCAGAAATAAAGAGCTACACCAATCTTCTGCTGCGTGTGATTTATTTCATGAGCTCAGAACAGGTTTACCCAAACCCTTTTTTTTCAGAACCTTTAGTAAATGTCAGTTTATTTGTCTGTTCAGAATCGTGATCTCTGTTTCAATCAAAAGCATTGTGATACTCCGTTTTAACTCCTGCCGTCTGTTATTTCTCGGATTCAGTTTGCTCTGTTAGTCTCAGCTGTTGTCTGCTGGTGTGAGGAGAACGACCATCTGTGTTGGTCACGGGTCTGTTCTCATGCTGTATCTGATCATCACACACACTAACATGTAGCGTACAGTGTACAGTTATGCTGTTTCCAGAAATAAAGAGCTACACCAATCTTCTGCTGCGTGTGATTTATTTCATGAGCTCAGAACAGGTTTAGCTCCGTTTGAATCCAAACAAATGTAAAGGCATCTTAATTCTGTATTTAATAAAGCATTATTTTAGGACGTGCTCTGCAGGGCCTGTTTTTCATTCACTGAAGAAATGATCTCAACGGTTGATGATTTATTCAAGGCTAGGTTATTATAACAGATCTATCAACAACAACAGGTCTGAAATATCAACCTGTATAATGTAAACAGAATTAGAATAATATAGAAATTCACATTCACATTAAACAATGTAACATGACGTAAAACACAAAGGTTGAGTGTGATTGGGAAATATGTGCGCACTTGAATCATCTGATAAACTATAATTTCCTCTGGTGAAATCTAGCAATAGTACATTATAGTAAATGAGTTATGCTTGGCAGAAAATGGAATCATATTTTTCTCTGCCGAATCGAGTAGGTCGTATAGTTCTCTTTGCTGTTTTGTATTAGTCAAAGTGTGAAGGTCTTGGCTTTGGTTTTGTCTATGTTTCATTTATCCCTAATTATTTAGGATTTATTATTCCGTCTGGCACGAAGGTCTGGTCAGAGCTGTGAGTCTGTCAGTATGAGGACTAGTTCAGTCCTGTTATCTTAAGCTGATGAGTTAGGGTGAGTCTCTTTATCTTTACTAGCTCTAGCTGGTTATAAAGGCTTTTACGGCACTCTTCTGAAGAGCCTGATGTGTTGTTCTTTTGTGTTTATATATTAACACGTTATATATATATTAAATTAGGATTTTTAAAAATGTTTTTGAAAGAAGTCTCTCAGCAAGTCTGTATTTATTTGGCACAGAAGAAACAGTAATGCTGTTTGGATATATTTTATAATATTACTCCAGGCTTCAGTGTCACTCACACACACACACACACCCACACACACACACTCTCTCTCTCTCTCTCTCACACACACACACACACGTGATCCTGAAGGCCTTTGAACAGTATCGACTGAAGTCATGCATCTACTACAAACCCTGGAGTGGGGAAGAAAACTACATCTCTGTATTTAAAGGCAACGGGTGAGCTGCTACATATGTGCTTATACTATTGGCTTTGGCACTAAAATGATTTTGCTGCACACTGATTTGTTGGTGATTTAATTCATGGTCATAAGTGTGACATCTGTCAAAGAATCCACCCTCTCTCTATATATACTTGTGTGTGTGAATAGCTGCTTCTCATCAGTGGGGAACCGGCGTGTTGGCAAACAGCGGCTGTCCATCGGCAGTGGATGTGATCGTATCGCAACCATCGAGCATGAGTTTCTCCACGCGTTAGGCTTCTGGCACGAGCAGTCACGCTCCGACCGGGACGACTACGTCTCCATCATCTGGGACCGCATTACTGAAGGTGCTTTACATGAACAACGACCTGAGAAACTGCAGATCGATCTATCTACTTTAAAAACACTGGGAAGTAATGCTATTTATTATTAATTAGAATTCCCGCAATGATTTATGATCAAAACATTGTTTCATTATCCAAAAATTAACATTTGCTGAAAATGTGCTCACCCTCAGGCCGTCCAAGATTAGGATGAGTTTGTTTCTTCATCAGGTTTGTAGAAATGTAGCATTGCATCAGTGTCTCAGCAATGGGTGCTCTGCAGTGAATGGGTGCCGTCAGAATGAGAGTCCAAACAGTTGATAAAAACATCACAATAATCCACAAGTAATCCACAGCACTCCAGTCCATCAGTTCACATCTGCTGATACCATATAAGGAAACTAATCCAGCATTATATAAAAAACTAGACATTCTTCTAAAAAATTATTCGCAATCATTAGGCGGAAATTCGTGTGTGGGACAAATACATTGCTAAGCTTCATTTTACTGCTTTATGTATCATAAAACCAAAAGGTATTCTTGTAAAGAAGACACTCTAAGCTTTCAAATGATACCATATATGGGCTGATACCATATAAGGAAGGCTTTGCAAATAAACATATTTTATGATTTTGGACCTGTATCCGGGTCCGCAGAGTTTAAGTGACATGTTCACATTCATTTCACAGGCAAGGAGCATAACTTCAACAAATACAACGACAGCACATCCAGTGCCCTGAACGTTCCCTACGACTACGGATCCATGATGCATTACAGCAAGAAAGCCTTTCAGAACGGCTCCGAGCCCACCATCGTCACCAGGATCCCGGCCTTCAGCGACGTGATCGGCCAGCGCATGGAGTTCAGCGACAGCGACCTGCTCAAACTCAACCGACTCTACAACTGCTGTGATGCTTTTACACGTGATCTAAAACGATCCAAAACACTTTACTAAATAAAATGTGATGTTTAGTTTATGTCACAGTCATGGACTTGATGTTCCTCTTGCTTAGGGCTGGGTATCAATACAGATTTAGCAATTTGATTGGATTCTAATTTAGTGAGAGGGACTTTCTTAATGATCACGAGTCAACAGTGGTCAAGTGTAATGACTATATCATACAGAAGAGCATGTGTGAATGTTTAAAGTGTGGTTATTTCACAGCCAGCTCCTCCACATTTCTGGACTCCTGTGACTTTGAGTCGGAGAACATCTGTGGAATGATCCAAAGCCGTGAAAATGAAGATAATGCAAACTGGCAGCGTGTTTCCAGAGCCGCAGGTGGACCAGACACAGACTACACCAACATGGGACGCTGTGACGGCAAGTCTTCTGCAGTTTTAATATTTATAAAGTTCAATCAGTTCTTTATAATTGAAATGCTTCACCCAAAAATGAAGCGATGCCTTGAAAGTGGACAAAACCGGCTTTTTTGACAAAATGTGTTTAGGGTTCAGATCGCGCTATATGAACAGAATAATGCACGGCAATCAGCTCTTTTTTTTTAAAGTGGCGTGCATCGGCCTTCATTAGGGGGACTAAATGTTTAAAACTCTACCATGTAATTGCCCAAACAGGCCTTCATCAGGGTGCAAAAAAGTGTTACTCAAATCAGATGACTTCAGTAACTGTACTTGAATGCTGTTGAAGCAGAAATCCTGTACTTGTTCAAACATCTGATGTGTTTTAGAGCCCTACAATATCAAGACATGGTTAAACACGTAATGACAAAATCTCTAAAACTAACCCTAACGCTAATTTATTTGAAAATAATTTGAAATCATCATTATGAGTGGGAAACTCAGGATTTTCTTTAAACCCAGAGTTTCCGAGTGAAGCACGGCATCTGCATTTACGGTAAAGTTGTACGAAATGTATCTTTTTTTTTTCCGTTTGCAAGTCGCATATACAAAACGCCACAGTATTGTACAATTACCACAGAATATGCAACGCACCTTCATAAACTTAAAGCATAAATTGACACAAAAAAAGCAGAAACACACCTGATGCACATTTTTTGTTCATTATTTGGTAGATTTTAGTAGATTGTGGCGTTAAAAAATAGGTTTATTTGTAGAAAAAATACATTGCCATCTTGCTCTAGATCTGAACGCACCTGATGTCATAATTACGACTTCCCAACTTATAAATATGAACGTCTTTGGCATACTCGAATGCACCAATTTACTTTTACCGTTTGCAAGTCGCATATACAAAACGCCACAGTATTGTACAATTACCACAGAATATGTAACGCACCTTCATAAACTTAAAGCATAAATTGACACAAAAAAGCAGAAACACACCTGATGCACATTTTTTGTTCATTATTTGGTAGATTTTAGTAGATTGTGGCGTTAAAAAATAGGTTTATTTGTAGAAAAAATACATTGCCATCTTGCTCTAGATCTGAACGCACCTGATGTCATAATTACGACTTCCCAACTTATAAATATGAACGTCTTTGGCATACTCGAATGCACCAATTTACTTTTAATGTCTGGTCATCTACTTTGGCTGCAAACACGTCTCGTAATCACTTATTTCTGAAACGTGGAAGCCTTGCAGTGCTCACACACAGTCCAGCTCATTTCCTCTCTGTTAAACGCTGACGTCCGCCCTGTTTTCAGGAAAGGGTTACTTCATGCACTTCAGCACTGCGAGCGGGCCGGAGGGGAACAGGGCTCTGCTGGAGAGCAGGGTTCTTTATCCCAGACGGGGATTCCAGTGTCTGCAGTTCTTCCTCTATAACAGCGGCCACGCTAATGACCGGCTGAGGATCTGGGTGCGAGAGTACGACACGGCAAACCCCGACGGGACCCTGCGGCTCATTCACGAGGTTAAAGGTACGGATGTTAATCTAGAGAGTGCTTGATTGGATTAATGAATATTGGACTTTCTTTAAAAGATGACTATTATAAGACAGCTTCCGTGCATATATCAGATTTATAAAGCGGAGAGTTCCGGTGCTTGATTCTGATTGGCTGAGTCGAAGCTGTTGTAAATGACGCTACAAAGTAACACACACCTTTGTTTACATTTGTGTGTTGCTCGGCAACCACTTTGTAGCAACCACAACTGTTTCTGAGGAGCTACATTGTTTGGTGGAAGAATACTGTGTTTATTAATATCATTACACTTTATTTGCTCTGCTTTATTTTGTGAAACCTTGCTTCGTATATGGAGTAACCGTTTTATAAAAGCAGTAACCCCCGTGAAGCCGTGGTTTACAGTGAATTTATAACAGCTAAGGGGATTTTAGGCACTCCGCTTCGCAGCGCCCTTAGCTGTTATAAATTCACTGTAAACCACGGCTACACGGGGATTATTGCTTTAATCAACGACTCTGTTTTCCTCTGAAAGCTTCTCCTGGTGACCAGTGGCAGCTCCATCACGTCAGCCTGAACGTCTCCAGAAAGTTCCGAGTGGTTTTTGAAGGAATCAAAGGGAGCGGGAACGCCGGCGGACTCTCACTGGACGACATCAACGTCTCAGAGACCAGCTGTCCTGAACACGTGTGGAGGATCGAGGACTTCAGGAGCGTCCTGGAGAACACGCCGATGGACGCCGCCATTTACAGCCCACGCTTCACGTCTAGAGACGGCTACAGCTTCCAGATGGGCCTGTATCCCAACGGAACAGCCGGATCCCCGGGAGAGCTGGGAGCGTATGCGCACCTGACATCCGGAGCGGCGGAGGACGGTGTGGTCTGGCCCGCGCGCTGGAAGCAGATGACCATGATGCTGATGGACCAGAACGCAGACATTCGCAGACGCATGAACAACCAGAGGAGCGTCACCACAGACCCCAGCATGACTGTGGAAGGTGAGGCTCGCGATCATCTCGTCCTGTTGGGTTTCTCAAAATATTTACCCTTTCTAAGAGGACTCCAGTGTTTCCTGTTAATTATGCAGACTTTAGTGGCTCGTACTGCTTCATAATGAACCAAAAATGGTTGTGTTTTGCGCCATTGCTTTGGCAAAGCTGCAATTGTGGTATGGCTTATCGAAGCGCGAATGATAGTCTCTTGCACTGCGTGTTTCAAAGTGAAGAGCAGCACTGTGTTCATGTGATCAGCTCGTGTTTTCAGCGTCTCAGTTATGCTTTATTTTCAAATTTGCATAATTTCTAACTTTTTGTGGATGGATTACAACGTTTAGCTGCAGTGTAAGAAAATAAATGTCAAATAACAGAAAAAGTAACCATTAATTTTACAGACATTTCCGTTAACTCAAACACAACGCAACCAGTGTAATGTATTGTGGAGCGAGACACTGTCACTAACTAAACTAAGAAGAGGTTTGAGTCCACTTTAAAATCCAGTACGGTTCAGTGCAGACATGTTACTCATTTCTAAATCGGAGGTCTTCGTTTGGCTTCCAAAGTGCATCAGATTAACGCATTTCATTTTAAAATCTACAAACCTTTCTGAATGACCAAGATCCACCCCCAATTTAAGTAATAAAATAAAAAAATGACAGTATAAAGCTATTATAATTGATTTATTTTTAACGTAAAAGTGGACACAGGCATTTGTAACCTGAATGTGTGAGGCTTCGTATTCACTTCCAGTTATTTTAGTGGTTCAAAAATAGTTGATATTGCAAACTGGTGTTTGTTATAATCTGTGACTCTGGAGCACAAAACCAGTCATAAGGGTACATTTTTCAAAATTGAGATTTATACATGAAAGCTGAATAAATAAGCTTTCCATTGATGTAGAGACGAACTACACGCCCCATGAAGCACTGCAACTGCAGACAATATTAAGCTAAAGTATTTCATTGCTATTATAAAGATATAATTCTAACGTATTTGATTGCAAGTATAAAAAAAGACAAAAACAAAACAAAATGAGAAACTATACAACTCAATTTACAATATAAAACAATTAGAATTTATTTATCTTTAATGTAAGACAGGGTTATTAAATTGAACTAAAACCATAAAAAAGTGAACTGCTTGAAATTAAATAAACGTTAATTGAAATACAGTAAAATATTAAAAACGTTTTATTTCAGCTAGTTGCCAAGGCAGCATTTCTCATTTTCATTTAGTTTTACAAAAATGAAGGTCTGAAAAGGTTTTGAATCAGAGCAGAAAGACTTAGGCCTGGTTTCACAGACAGAGCTTAGGTTAAACCCGGATCATAGCTCAGTTAGGACATGTATCTTTTATAAACACGCCTTAGAAAAAACATCGCTGGTGTGCATCTTGAGACAAAACAATGGCACTGATATATTTTACGATCAATCAGTGCAAGTTTCTTTCAGTTAAAACAGCTCATGCATTTGAGTCTGAGACTAGACTAAAGCCTTGCCTGTGAAACCAGCGGCTAAACTCAGGACACAACAGCAGTATTCTCATCAGTATTTCTGTCTTGTTTTCCAGTCCAAATATCTAAACGTTCTTAAATCAAGATACTAAATGAAACCAAGAACAAAAATCTGTCAACGGGGAATGAAAGCTTGTTTAAGTGTATTTTTCTGAGCCCTTTGGCAGATATTTGTTCTTGTTTAAATCATAAACTCACTTCATTTTTATCCATTTCTCAAGACTTCTTGTGCTTCTCCAGTAAATGTGTCTTGATTTAAGAATCGTTTGAACTGGAAAACAAGACAGAGATACTGAGGAAGAGCTGCACTTTATTACAGTGTGATCAGAAGCTACAGTAAAATATAGTTCCATATTCTGGTGTTTGTGAGCAGAGCGGTTCAAACCTTGAGCGATTTTATTTTTTCTTTGTCTATTTTTCTTTTCTTTTCTTTCCTTCTTTTAATAAATTCTAAAGTAATAGAGATCAGTTGCAATTTGCAAGACGTTTACATTTAGAGACCATATTGATGTATTGTGTTACATTCAATTTGTTTGTTAAATTTTCTTCACTTGTCCTTAAAAAGTCTTCAATTTACCCTCAGAAACCCTGACAGAGTTCCTCGACTAGACATGTATGATCTGGATAAGTGAGCAGGAGTTTAGCTTTTGTCATGTTCAGTCTTCAGTAACAGCTGAAGCATGTGTGTGTGTGTGTGTGTGTGTGTGTGTGTGTGTGCAGGTGTGTGGTGGGACAGGACTGGTGGCATTACGGCGACAGGTGCCAGTTTAAGAGCTCTGCTCAGAGCAGCGTGCTGACGGCGGTGCTGGCGTCTGTGGCTGTGTTTGTGCTCATGCTGATGGTGACGGTGGTCAGTGTGGTCTGTGTGAAGAAGCAGCAGAGGAAAGTGCAGCGTGAAGGAGAGGGAATCACCATGAATAACATGCACTCGTTCGCATGAAGATCTGAACTTTCCTCTAATGTACATTATGACTAATTAAAAACAAACAATGCTTTAATCTGATTCTCTGATGTAATTCATTCAGTGGCCCCAAAAAGCATTTTGTTCACGTTTAAATGTCATCACATTAGAAAGCAAACATCACCGTAATGAGGACACACACACACACACACTCTCGCTCACACACTCTCTCACACACACACACACACACACACACACACACACAC